GAACTAACAGTGTTTTGCTCAATGCTTTGCTACATTCCCAATAATGTAGTATTAGTCCAAAAAAACTTAATTAGAGCAAAAAGAAGACCAAAGTTTGAATGCTCAGGATCTCATCATGTCACAAGTACATTTGTCCTTAAAAACAGATGGAACTCGGTATTCGTCAAGCAAATTTGGTGTTAACTTGTTGCCCTATCAGATTTGGAGGAGATTGTGAAATACAGTGTCTGGTTTTGTTTCTCTCACATTCAGTATATTTGTGTTTTAGGGAAAGACAGGATACAAACCATTCATAGTGTAATTTACTTGCAGATATACTCAGTGTTAATGATACCAAAATATACAGGAAAAACCAAAATGAAATTCCACATGATGAAGACAATGAGAGGGGGTTTTTCAGGCTGATGAGGAGAAGGGAGCCTGAGTTGGGCCGACTGATGGGATGTCCTCAGGAAAATGATGTTTTCCATTCAGGCTTTAAACCCTAGATTCATTTACTCTATGCACCTATGATCATCTTTGTATTTAATAATTTCTCTTAAATTTCAAGTATATCAGGGCACTCACAACAGTGAATGTAAAGAAGAATCATGTCAGGGATATAAATGCTGCTCAGTTCTTTATATAACCCAATCAAACCATACACTGAAGGAAAATATCTAGAGATTTTGGTCTTACAATGAAAGAAATGGGATCAGAAGTTTTTATTTATTTCTACAGAGTGTGGCAAGAAACACCCGACTGAATCCAAGTGATGAGTAAATTTGAAAAACTCAGTGATTAAATTATATGGTCAGAGAATAGATATTCCAAACTCAGGCTTAGTGAGGGCTCTCCTGACATGAGCATGTGGGCACGGGGTACTCAAGGGCAGGAAGAGGAGGGAGGAGACTCAGCTCACCCAGACACTCATGCATTGTGTGCTCCTTCCAGGATTCCTTCCAGTCAGAGCCTATGCCAATACCCTTAATCAAATTCTGTGGCAGGTCTGATCCAGCTGGGTCCAGATTGAACCAGTGAAGTGCAGCTCTGCTAGCTGCCTCCTGGCATTGTAGCTTCCAGGTAAAGGGAACAAAGGTGGCTCTGCACATCTGTGAAAACTGTCTGAACATCATGAGATCCTGTGATCCGATTCCTCTGCTTAGCAAGCACAGACATTTGAAGGTCTGTGTAGTTCAGGAAGCTTGACTCTGCTGGTATTACAACAGGACAGATCTGGATTACAAGCATAACTTTCCTGCTTTCTCTCCCAACTCAGATATGGTAGGAGAAACTTTGATGATACAAACTTCTCTTCTCTTGTGCGTCTGCAGCGCATGAAGTACCCCTAACTGCAGGCACAATCAGAGTATTGGAGGTAACAGAGCCTCATAGATGCAGGCTCCTGGAATCCTCATCAAGTGGGTCTGACATGGTTGCTCTGTGCTGAATCAGTGACAGACTGTTATTTCACTCTCAGAAGTGATCCAGGGCTTGATGATTTTGCTGTTTATTGCCATTCTCAGTACAGTAGCAGGTGCCCCACAGCAATTCACCATGGAATTAAAAACCTCTGTAAGAATTTTATTGTGCTTTACTCATACCAGGGGCTCTCTGTACATAAGCTGCTCTGAAGTCTGCTCAGCTTAGCACACACTCTGTTTAATTGTGTGGAAATCGCATGATGATGAACAAGACAGTGCTGTACAGATTATCACTGTGACTCTTGCCATCCTCCCCTGACTTAGCTCTACATGTAAGTTGAGGAAGAAGCTCTTTGGCACTGACACTGGAGTCACATTGATGTATTTCCTCTCCATTGGGATAAAGTCTTTAGAGGTGTACAGCAATGCCTAATGCAATTATGGGGACAAATTAAGAATAACAGTAACTGCGATGTAAGAATGAACATTGTCATAATTCACAGATAAAATGGCAATGAAGGCAGAAAACAAAAATCAATCCACAGAGAACTAGGAACACTAACAGTAGAAATTACAAACCACTGATTAAAATTTAGAGCCCTAATAAAGTTTTCTGATGTAGACAAATGATAGAGGAAAAAATTAAAGTTATATTTAAAAAGCATTTATACTATCATTATTTACAATGCAATCACAAAACTCAGGAGTAAACAAAAGTATGTGTATGAAATTACCAGAATATTATTAAATAACAACATGATCATCTTCAACAATAACAGAAACAGCAAAAATCTTGAAATAAAGCATCATATTTATTGACTTCATAACTTAAAAATTTCACTTATCCTTGTTGAAGTGAAAATTTATCAGCTGATTCTCCATTGGGTAGCAGGTGTCAAGGCTGCAGGAGGACCACAGCAGGCCTCAGGAGGCTGCAGGGTGAGCCACAGCAGATGACGATACGGAACTGTGGTTTAGGGCCAAGGGAAGCCATGCTGTCCGGTACAAGGAAGAGAGCATGCAGAGATGGCCTCCATGTCATGGTGCACTGTGTATGCACATGATTAAAAGCTTCTCCTTCCCTTGTGAAACAGAAGCAACAAGGACTGAGAGGAGATGTACAAGCTGACTGTACTGACACTGTTCTTGTTCTTGAGATTCAGGGACCAGTGAAAACTGTCGAGAGGAGCCGGCCACTAAATCTCAGCAATCAGAGGGGCATAGGGTTGGTGTAAATTGCTAGCAAGGATATAGACAGTCAATGGAGACTCTAAAATATTTCTGTTTACTGATGTCTCCACTATCAAAATCTAACAGAATACTTGAACAGACCAGAATAAAACAAACATGATACAGGTAAAGTTCCACATGTCCTTGGAGAGATACTAAGGCACATGGAACATGACACACACAATGAGACATACATATGTGAACACCTGACACAACCTCTCAGTCACATTGAGACTTGAAACCCACAAGATATAGTCTGTTAATTATTTTTAAGTTATTCTGTCAGTGAATAATTGCATACGAGAGAAGGCTGATGGCTGATTAGAATTGGGTTCATCTATAGGGTTTACGTGTATTAAAACAGAAATATATGAGGAGCAGCAGTAGGATACACCCAGTCCTACTTCCATGAATTCCCCCTGTACTTTCTGTGATTAGAGGACTCTCTTCCATTCAGGCAGAAAGCCAGGGAGTCAGGATGCTGCTACAGTATGCTCTGCTTGTCTGAGATCCAGACAAGGAAATGATATCCTCCCATCATTCAAGTTCTTCCTCTCCCTCAGTTTGAAAAATCTTCCATAGGAAAGTATCTCATGGGCAGGATCTTAATTACCTCTGAGACCCAAAATGTCACAGACTTAAGGATTTTAATCTTTACCCCTAGAAAACATGTTCAAATGCATCCACATGCAAAAGCAGACAGCGTCCCACATTACTTTCTTGCAGGCAGCTCCTCCTGTGATATAACAAGCTGCCAATGAAAATCCATGCAACATGTAAGGATGATAAGACAAACTTTATTAATGGGCACTGGTGTGGGCTTCAGTGCCTCTCATATCACAAAGAAGTTTTCATTTAACCTTTTCAGGCATTTTGTCTAATCAGTGGTGATAGATAACAAAGGGAACAATGTCACTAAGTTTTAGCTACAATAACAAAAGCTCCTAGACTGAGTGTTTTGTAAAACACACACTAATTTGTGAACATTCCAGAGGTTGAGATGCCCAAGATCCAGGTGCTGTCAGACTGGAAACATCAGGAGAGATGTCCTTCCTTGAAGATTGCCACCTTTCCTCTGTGTCCTCACATGGAAGATAAAGAAAAAGAAGTCCTTTTCTTTCCTTAGGGAGCCTCTAGTTCTGTCATATGCACAGCACGCTAGTGATGTCACCTAAGTATCTAGCCAAGACCCTGCCTAAAAATACCTTCAAAACAAGGAATAGAATTTTAATGTATGACTGTAAGCGTGACAGAGACATTCAGTCTAAAACAGTCCTTGGAGTTCCAAATTAGCTTGTGAACCACAATAGATCCCACTTTACTCTTGTTTCCCAACAACCCTGTCCTCAGGCCTTCTGTGTAGAGTGGCACTAGCCTGGAAAGCCTGCAGTGTTCAACAGTGACCTAAATGAGTCACCCATAGGGTCTGTGATTGGCCGCCTGTACATCATTTCTTACTAAATTGCAGGTTCATTTCTAAACAGTCCCCAAATCTGCCCAGTGTAGTTAACAGGGTACATACTTGAACTCTCCCACTGTTGTCAAAATTTACTTAGATAGGACCTGGTCCTACTTAGGGAAACTCTGTGAAGAAATAAATTCTCTCAGCAGCACTTGCAATCTTGTAACATTAAGTTATTCCTTCTTTATTCTGTACTATTATTCTAGGAAGTTGTTTCCCTGATAATCCCTATGACCAGTCTGGACTATGTGAGATAATTATAGTGGGTGTGAAATGCATTATAAAACCTGGCCAAACATAATTTTATATTTACTGTGTGAAGGCTAAACCCATTTCTGTTTCTTTGCAGACTAAAAGTCACTGTCATTCATGTGCATTAGACTCACATTTTATTCTTCATCAAGCCATGTGACAGAGAATTCACTGATTTTAAGTCTCAGGAAAAATCAGTTTCTAGCACTTCATCTGGTATTTCAAATATTTAACCTTATGATGCAGATACCAGGAAACTATTTAGCTAGATTTCGATTGTCTTTCATTGTGAAACCTTCTGCTTTCTGTACTTACAGGGTTGGAAGTTGCTTTATCTCTCCACATTAACTGAGAGAACAAACATAGTTTGTTCAGCTCATAGAAACTCAGCTCTGAAATAAATCTTAACATCTCAGCTCTATATCCCTGGACTTTCTAGAACAGCTTGTTCAATGTCAAGTGTCCTCGTTATAAACTTTGTCCTTCAAATAATTCTGCTCCCTACTGAAGACCAATTTTACTAAATATGTACGTGTGCCCCTTTAAGGGATTTTTTTGTCACTGGGGTCCACCTTCTTCCTGTTGTCACCTTCCCCTTTACCACAAGGTGGTCTCACACCACTGCACCCACCAGGGGATTTGCATAGAGTCCCCAGGGGGGTCCTTCACTGTAAGTCTGAGATAAAAAGCTGAGCTCTAAGCTTGTGTTGACTGATCAGGCCTCCAGAGATCAGCTTCTCAAAATGAGGCTCCCTGCTCAGCTTGTGGGGCTGCTAATGCTCTGCATCCCTGGTAAGAACAGGGGAGATGAAGGAGTGGAGGGAGTGCAAAGGTCCTATTGATGGTTGTTTTCACTGAGGTCATGTGTTAGAGACATAATGTTGCTGCAAGGATGGGAATTTGAAATTTTAAGAAAATTAGTAGATTACTAATAATGACCAGGACTTTAAAAGTATTACATGAGAAAGAGACTTCTTGTGCCTTACAAATACAGTGACAAGCTTTTTTTAAAATATAATTTTGTTTTGTTTTAGAAAAACTTGTATGATATAAACAAGAAAATTAACTTAAACTAAATAATAAACAGAGTGCACAGTGCACGATGTTCACAATGTTTCCATGTAACCTTAAACTGTGTTATTGTTTCAGGATCCAGTGGGGATATTGTGATGACCCAGACTCCAAACTTCCTCTCCAAGAGCCCTGGAGAGCCAGCCTCCATCGCCTGCAGGTCCAGTCAGAGCGTTGCTGGTAGCTATAGTACCTACTTGCATTGGTACCTACAGAAGCCAGGCCAATCCCCACAGCTTCTAGTCTATGAGGTTTCCAACAGAGCCACTGGAGTCCCAGACAGGTTCAGTGGCAGTGGGTCAGGGACAGATTTCACACTGAAAATCAGCAGAGTGGAAGCTGAAGATGCTGGAGTTTATTTCTGTCAACAAAGTTTGCAATATCCTCCCACAGTGATACAGCCCCTTACATAAACCTCCCTGTGTAGGGCTGACAGCTATCATCTGTGCTGCTTTTCTATGCCTCCAAGTCGCCTTGAAGGTAGATTCTGGGGAACTCAGAGTGATGGGTTGCTGCTGCATCACTCATTTTCTTCAGACAAAGACTACTCTTCTGCAGCAGACTTGGGTGGCAGAAGCATTAGGAGACTGATGTCGTCCATGTGCCTGGTATCTTTGAGCAACTGACTGTCAGGGTTTTTGTCTGTGTCCCCCAGGCCTCATGAGTTTAAATTGTGCATTTGTTATTCGTTCAGTGTCTAGTGCTTGGATTGATGGTGTCAGTGCTCCACCCACAAAGGGGTGGAGCCAGGATGTGATGTAATGGCAGGAAGCAGGTGTGTCTTGCTCTCTTTGCTGGTTCAAGCTTGCTGTCAGTGGCTGCCATGAGCTGCGGTCCAGCCATGCCCGCCTTACTTGGAGCCAACTGAGTGTGGACTGAAACCTCAAAAAAAACTATAAGAAATAAACCTCTCCTTTCCCAACTTGGGCATCAGGTATTTTGTCTCAGCGACGAGCATAAATTGACTAAGACACTGACCAAGAGGACAGACAGATGTCAGTGACAGCTCATTCTAGTCTTGCCTGCCTGCCTCAGCTGTCAAGAAATTCTGTCAGTGTGACATCTGACCACTTCTGAAGATTCCTGAGAAGTTCCATACATGTAGAAAATTACCTCTCTGCACTGTAATTTTCAGATATTAATACAGGGAAATACTAAGAAATGATTTTAGCCAAATCTTTAATGTCCACACACCTTATGCTCAGGGAGAAGATGACTGAGAATAATAAATAAATCATATATGAGTATCAAAGAATTCTTTTGTAAATTATTTGTAGATGTAAGATTCTAATGACAGAAATCCCTGGTTTATGTCCATTGTCTTTTGCTGAATGAAAAGTGAATTCTAACTCCAAAAATTAGCTTTGAAAATAAACAATTAATGGACTGATGCAGAACTTGAGATCATATTTCATTTTATAGAGAAAATCACTGATATGGGTCCAAAGTGGGGAAAACTGGGAACTTAGAAGGTGCGCATATTGTTTGACTGAAGTGTGATCAGCCAGTAAGATTAGTTGCTCAGGCAAAATGGATTACATCAGGGAACCATGGGGAAGTGAGTACTTAGCAAGTGGGCATGCTTAAGAGCAGTGACTCTTTCTGTAGTGGTTGGGATGGTGACTCCTGCCTTCCTCAGGGTGATAGAGAACTTTTAAGATTATGAATTCTTAGGATGTGGGTCCATTTGTTTGAACTTTTGTTTGGAAGCCCGGCCCACAGCAGTTGCAAGGTATCTGGATTTCTACACTAGTTCTTTCCAGGACCTAGCCCTGTCTGATTGCCTATAATATTTCTTTCTAAGTCAATTACCTGTAGCATGATGATTCATTGAATTTAAAATCTGCTTCAGATGCACTAGGAAAAGAGTGATTGAAATAGAAAGAGTGTCATTATGTTATCCACAGTTCCCAGTGTCCTTCAGTTTCTGCTGTGGGGTGAGACAGCACATAACACCAAATCCCATGGAAGATGCACAGTTATGTTTTAACATAACAAGAACAAAACAGAAATAAACCCCTAAAAGACGCTGTTATCCCAAAGGTCTACACACACCATTAGAAAGGTAAAAGATGCATGATAACAAGAAGTCAAAAGAGAATACTAAAGAAAATCAGAGGACAGTGAACTTTGCTCCTTTTAACCAAAAATATTCATTGATTCTTGTGTCTGCAGCTTGCAACCATTCAATTCACAGATCAATAAAAGAATCTGTGCTCTGACTCAGTCAATGAAAAGAAAGTGTAGTCAATTTTAACAAGATATACATTTTTCTATGTTTGATAATTACTTTAGATCACCATTTCCCATGTTATCAAAAGTATGTGTGAGCTAACGGAGACAGTGAATCTGTCATCTGTTTTGTCCCTGAGACTCACATTTACCCTTGATGCTCCACACTTTGCTATTTCTAATCCTCAGTTCACCTACTTGGATATGCTATGAAAAGTAGACATTGGTACTCATTCCACCAGGCCATTTAACTTGCCCACTGCAGCTCTCACTCCAAACATCTGTCATCTTCTGAGTGAGCTGATTTTAATCCTGTTCCAAGTATCCTGTGCAAACAGCCAGTTTCTCCTTCAGAGAAACCACCTGCCCCATTGGCTGCAGAGATGTGCTGCCATGTATGGGAGAGGCAGTTACCAGTGTTGGCCACATAGGGACAATCTCACATTTCTGATGGAAAGTATGTGGTAGAGAGAAGGAGTAACAAAGGGCCCAAGGCCCAGGTATTCACTGTATTCAGGTTAAAAGTTCTCTTAGTATGGAACTAATACATAAAAGGGAACAGTACACAAGAAAAAGAAGTTGGAACTAAATCACATAAAGAAGAAACTGAAAGCTTTTTGTTTTCAAGACTTCCAGTCTCAAATTATGTTTCCTTAGTGAAATTTTTAAAGAGAAATATATATTTATGGTTCTGCTTTATGAAAATCAGTATTTATGAGATGCCCTTTAGATTTAATCATATATTTTGGTAATAGAATTTGAAAGGATTTTGCCCTAGATATGATATTTTGGCAGTGGGAGGCAGGACCAAGGGATGTTTACCTTGAGGTCACTTTCCCCTTCCCTATGACAATTTACCTGTGGAACAAAAAGAGTCCCAATCAGCTGCCTGCGCATCAGCAATGCCACCTTAAGCACCACCCCAGTCGGAAACTATATGTATGCTCCCCACACCACATTCCAGCAGAGAAAGCCAGGCTTTGGTGATCATGGGGTTTTCTCCATGTTCTTAGAATAAAGGCCATTTTTACTTTATATTTTCCCTTTATTGCACCAAAAATCCTACAAGAATTCAAAACATTACCTCTCTAGCCTACCACAGCAAGTCCTGGGAATTATGAAAGGAACAAGTTTGAAAACTGATGTTTCATTAACTTTCAGTGGAAGTGGGTTTGGGACAGATTTAAAGCATATCTGAGTCAGCCATGCAGAGCCAAAAGACCTTGCAACTGACCACCATCATCAGAGCAGCAGTCACCCTCCCTCAGGGAGGCACAGGATGAGGAGAAAGCCACGTGGCTTACAAGTGAGACAAATACAAGCAGCAAGAAGCAAGAACAAGAGTCATCCAGGGAGGTGCAAGCTTGAGATAGAACATTCATTGGTTTTGGAAACAACATTTTTATATCTTTTTAGAAGTATAAAAGCTAACCAATCTTAGAAACACTGTGATTTTCCACTTAAATATAAAATTTCATTGTAGTTTTCAGAACATTCAGGGTCCTTGGCTCCAACCACTGCATGCACTGTGCCTCTATACTGCAAATGGAAGCACAGCTGTGGGTCACTTGGTGTTGCTGCCCAGGATCCTCAAAGCCTCTGCCAAGCTGAAGATATATTTGTTTTCTTCTTTCCCTAGTATTTTGTGTTAAATTATGCTTCATACATATATTCATCAAAGTCTTTTTGAGGTAACTCAGAAATTTTCTTACTGCCAACAATAGCATTCTTGAGTGTTCTTATTAATGATCATGGCAATCTTATGCTACATGCTAGTGAGTAAATCATGATCTACTTACATAATTTTTTGCAGTGCTTGATAGGACCTTACACATTTACTTCATATTAAAACTCTAAATAGATTCAAATAAAAGAGATGTGAGTACAAAATATGGTATATAATTCAACTGAAATAACTTTGCAATAAAAGACACATTGTCATTAATAACTCTCAAAATATTCCCCTTTGCTTTGAATACATTTATACAATCATTAATGCTACTTTCTCAAATAATTCAGGAAGCATGGGTTTCTTTAAATGTATTTTCAGTTGTCTCAGTGTTATAAATCAATTCAAAATATTTCCCTTTCTAAGTAGTTTTGACTTGTGGGAAGAATCACAAGTTGTATCCTTCTGCATCCACTGAAAAGGTAGACAAAGACCCACTATAATGACTTTCAGAGTCTGCTCATTAACTGAAAGCTACATGTCAATAGCTGTCACTGCTGTTATCACCCCAGTCACATATTCATGAAAGAATATTTTCATGATTGCTTCAAAAAGTGAACAGTAGAACAGTGACAAGTAGGTTTAAAGCAAAATTAGGATTTTGAGTTTTGAGGGATTTATGGTAATGTGTTTTTACTGTAATAAATATATAAATTTAAAAATTCACAATATATTTCATCACATTTTTATACCTAAAATAGAAAATCTATTAGAAGTCAAGAAATTAAAAATATCGCCAAAGAGAACAGAATTCTTGTAGCTTATATATGAAATTGAATCTCTAATTACCCAAATGTGACAGAGATGATCTACTAGTTATGTTAGCACACTACACTGCCTACAAGACCCAACTTTTAAAATACCCCCAAAATGAGAGATATTTACCTATAATATTGAGTTTCACTTCAGGTTTGCCCCCTTTTCCTTTTATATATGTTTTTTATGATGCATTTATTTTGGCTTACAGAAAACCTCATTAGATCTTCAATTTCCGTTCAGCTGTGTGGATTGTTAGTTACTATTCAAAGAGGTGACTTTTCCAGAATTACAAGTATTCCTTTACTTTCTATTCTAGTGTCATCAGTGCATTTGGTAGTTCACCACAATGAGCTAACACCGTGATGCATCATGGCTGGATATAAAATTCTCCAATCTCGTGTCTCCAGAGACAGTTCTTTGGAAACCTCATTGGCTCATATGGAAGCAGAACTTGCCAACAGACTGATTCACTGATGTGTTGAAAACATTGTTGGAAGGTGGATTACTGGATGTGTGACCTCAAATGTATATCCTTTTCCCTGGACCTTTTATCTCTTTGCTTCTCAGTTGACATGTGATGGAATTTTTTCTTCCCCAAACCTGTGTTAAAACACACACACACACACACACACACACACACACACACACACACACACACAGTGAATCCATGGACTCCAAACTAGAAAATTCTGTAACCCTAATGCACCATTAGGTGGCAAACCAACCCCATGATGAACAAAGCACAGAGGTTTGATCTAATGAACTCTGGGGAAGAAGTAATACTCTCCAGTGAACAGTACGAATCCTAGGGCATCGGAAGTATTGGTCTAGCTCTCATGGCTCACGTTTCTGAAGTGACATTGCCCTCATGTACCACACTGTGAAATGTACGTTTGTTTCTGATCTTCACTAGCTGTGATCTGAGAACTTGAAACTTCCCCAAGGAAGCCTGAAGTATGATTAGAACATTTTCAGCATGGATCACAGGTTTGCAGGAGGGCAAAGACCAGGATTCTGAATGTGCCAGACATGTGTGTAGTAAAATGGCCTTCAGAGAGTAGGGACAGAACCCACTGAAGGCCTCATCCAGTGAACAGGAATAAACACTCTAGACATGTCTCATACAGTAAATGCAAGGATATTTGCTAAGAAGAAAGGATGTGATTTCAGATCTGTGCTTCTACCTTCCCCAAAAGCCATGTATGGTCCATGTGTCAGGGTGGATAGAGAGTGCTGAGATGAGCTGGACCCAACTCCACAGTCATGCTTTCTAACTCTTTTCTTGACCCTGAATTCTTGACCTGGTTTAAATCCTGTGGTTGTTGAGCACTTTACTTCCCTGATTCTCAGCTCCTTTAAAGCAGGACAGCAGTAGCTTCCCCCACAGCAAAGGCCAGAGCACTGCAGCTCTCTGCACCACATGACTGACCTCTGCCACCTTTGAGGCCTTTGTTTCAAACCGCTTCTCAACTCCAGGACCAGAAAGTCTGTGCTGGACTTTAATCTTCAGAGCCAATTGCCATATTCACTGTAGCCAAAATTGCCACCTGGATAA